CCGGGTAACATAGCAAGATCAAACAGCGAGAGAAGAAAGAAAGGAGAATGCAGAGGTGTAGCCAGGCAAGGTCACTTACTCATGATGTTGAGTACCAACCTGTGGCACTTCCCCCCCCTGCAATGTTTAAAGCAGAAATAAAAGATAAACAGGGACAGCCAAGAGGCTGGCCTTGGGTGCACACTTTAAAACCAGAGATATCGGACCCTAAAGCGCATATTCGATTTGTATTACTAACTTGTCCACTTCTTAGTTAAATGTTTCATTAGGATCACATTCAAACTCAGAATTCTTCCTGTTTTCTCTCCTGATTTTCAGGGGGAAAAAAAAAAAAAAAAGTAACTTTACTTTCATCATTTAAGAATGAGAGGCATGAAGAGACTAAACAGGCACAGTGCTCCTGAGCACACACTGACTGAAGGGTGAGTGACAGGAAAAACTACTGAAAAGTATAAAAAAGGAAAAAATAAAAACAGCCAGGAAAACATTCCTAGTGGCTTCCCTGAAACAGGGAACAAGCAATTACACCAAAAGGCTACAAATATAAAAGTGGTAATTGCTCCTGACAGAAGTCTGGTTTCTTCCAGTCATGGCTGCAAGCGAGTCTGCAGTCTTGAACTAAGGTTTAATCTCCTGCAGCAATTGGTATGTGCCCTTCTTAGGTTAAGTCTAACCTTTAAAGAAAGGGAATGTGCACATCCAGTCCACACATTTGTTTGGCTGGCAATCTGGAAAAAGCCCCTGCTCTGCATGCTGAGAGCATAATCGCTGGCTAATCACACTTACATCATTACACCAAATCAAGAGAAAATACCCACAAAATGGGAAGCAGGAGACCCAGAGGGTAGGACTGTCCCCACTGCAACATCAGGAGGCTTCTGGAAGCCTCTTGGCAGCTCCTATTCACAGAAATTATGAATAAGCACAACAAGGGTTTGAGAAGCAAGAACTGCCTTATCCACCTCAGCTGGGCATGCTGCTGCTCCTGCACTCGGGCACCTGCGTGGGGAGAGGAAAACAGCAGGAGCCAGACAAGGAGAGGCTGCTGTTACTCACACTGGTCTGTGCTTAGCAAGGTCTCACAGTTACTTCTGGGGCAGCCAGCTGGATGCCTCTGAAGGGTCAACACGGGCACACAGCTCCCCATGCTGTGTACACCTTTCTACCTCACCTTCCTGGCCTGGTACCTGGCGTCAACACAGGCACCAGCGCTCTTATCTCTCAAATGGATTAACAGTTGAAAGAACAAACTGAAAAGCGCCTTTTCTTTCATGCCTCCCCAACTGCAAGGTGTCTGGTTCCTGCTATAATAGGCAAATGGGCATACGCTGGCACCAGTGCTTCAGTAAAGCTGACAGACAAGAAGCTCTGTACCCGCCTCCTCCTTAGCTGGGTTCTTTTCCAGAGTTCTGGCAGCGTGACAAAAAAGCAGGCAAGCCCAAAACAGCAGGAGCGGCGCGCGCTGAACTGCAAGGAGGGCACAGAATGAACTGTACACATGCCAGGGGCAGTGTGGAGCTGGAGGCTCAGGGAAAAATCCCAAAAGCTCATCAGCAAACTCTGCAACATGTTGGTGGGATCAACTGAGTCCGCACCTCTCTTTGCACATACAGGGACCACCGTGCTTCTCCACTTTTCCCTTTTGAATAAAGGCAGAGTGACAAAAAGAAAGAAGGCTCTGCCACCAGTCCCCCACCAGTACACGGGAAAGGCTCACGGGAGTGGGAGTGAAGGGGAGACTGCCTGGGGACGTCGGGGGAGAATTTAGGAGCAGCAAGAGGACAGCTCTGTCTTGCAGCAGTAGAAGCACAAGTGGTAAGAGCCCTGGAAATAGGAGACAAAGAGCAGGGAAAGGTAAGGGTATGTGACAGAAGTACAGCAGAAAGCAGGTTTATATTAGCACGTGGCTGATACGGGTCATGTGTGGGAAGGTTTGCAACTCCAATCATAGTGGGGGCTGCACCAAACATACGCACACAGACTGGGAGGTGGTGAGAGGTACAGAGAAATTTTATTTTGGTGGAAATTTAGACTGTGTTCAGGCAAGTACAAGGCAGAGCTGAACACTTTTCCTTAGGCCCAGGTACAGCTACGTGAGCTACACAGGAGGTCAGGGCCAGCTGCTTTCAAATAAAAAAACCCATTGTATTACCAACAGAAAAACAAACAAACAAAAGACAAAAAACCATCTCTTTGTCTAAGTGTTGTCTTTCCCCAGAAGCCTGCTAAGCAACACCAAAAAATACACAACCACTTCATGCGTCTTAGCTCGCTGTCAGGGCAAAGCGACCACCTCGCAGATGAGCGCGAGACAAGACCTGTGCCCCAGCAATGCCTTCTCAGCACGACTACCCTGAGAACAGCACAGGGCACAGCCTGGCAGCCCCAGTACTGCTCCCCAGCATCCCACCAGGGACCCTACACCGCCAGTGCCCAGGCGGAGGCCAGGGCAAGCCAGCCCTGACCTACAGCTGCTGGCCACCACCACTCTCCTTCACGTACCCCTGGCCAATGCCAGTTCGCCTGCAGGCAGGTTAGCCCATCCTGCACGACTGATCTCTTCGAGTGAGGTGGCAACGCAGCCAGCACCCTGCACTTGATTTTAAGCTCAGCTTGATGGAGAGGCACCTACTTCTGTGAAATCTGGAGCATAAGATGAGAGGAGGGAATCCAGATGGCTGCAGGCCAAAGTGGTCCTTTTGGGACTGCTGTACCCAGTGCCTCTCAGGATAGCCCTGCTCATGGTGTTGCCCGCCCCCTTTCCCACCGCCCCATGCCATTAGCGGGGCAAAGGATGTTTCCCATGGAAATACCCAAATTTGGGAGACACCGCCTCATTCTGATGGACTTGTAGCAAAGCACCACGTCCCCACACAGTGCTCTCATCCACCAGCTGAACTGTCACGTTCATGCTACATTGTGCTAGACAGGGAAGCCAATCTAGCATAACGTGGCTTATAAATAGCTTCAGATTCTGCAGGGTGAAGGTGTTGAATGCAGAGATGTCACAGCCCCAGGAGAGAAAAGAAGGGACAATGAAGTGGTACATGACTGTACTGCAGTTTACTTCAAAAGCCTGCGCATCTGATGAGTAGCTTGGGAGCCAAGTTTCCCAGCCCTTTATGAGCTGCCTTAGTGAGGATATGGGGGTGCTGCAGACAGAGCTGTGTGATCTCTGAATAGATCCTCATAGGACTGATGAGTCACAGGTTCTCACAGAATCACGGATTTTGTGATCTCATGTGACACACGCTGCTTCAGGATCTCTGCTCCAGACCTTCATCCCTGCTGCGCACTCCTAGCTTGGAAGAAGTGACAATCCACCCATTTGAAATCAGCCTGTCTACAAAATAAACTAGTGTGCTTGCCTGATTTTCATAACATCAAAAAAAAAAAGACAAAAAAGGAAAAAAGGACTGGACAACAACTACTGATTTGTTTGTTTCACATGCTTAACTGTACACTTCAAACACTGATATCTAGTCTTTGTAAGTCCTTCACATGGATACTTTACAGGGGATTACTTTACCCCTGTGCCAAGAAAGGCTTCCCCATCTTCTGCTCAAAATCTGATGAATGTTGTTTCAAAGATATCAGGGGTTGAGAATAGCAGTTAGGCAACTTCTAGCTCTCATGTGATGGCACCACCATTCTTCAGTTATCACAGTACTGTACCTTTCATGTATACAGCACCGGTACCATGATAACCGAAAAAGGACAGTTCATAGCCTTTTGTTATTTGATGCCATTGTCAGATAAACAACCCTCCCTCCATTTGATTAAAGCAAAACTGCTCAGTCTCCAGGAGTAACTGTAATCTAGTCGTTCACTTGTCAGTCTGATTGAGTAAATGAAATTTTTGATACTGGATGCCCTTCCCCTAACCTGTGTGTTGCAACTAGCAATGTAAGAAATTTAGTCTTTTTCTATCCTCTGAACCACTACCAGCCGCAGACAAAACTTTAATAAAAATTGAGTCTGAAAGGACTAGACAGAAGTCTGCTGCCTGACAGAGCTAAAGCTTCGGGGTTGCACACAGCTCCATTAATTGAACTCTTAAGCTGTTTCCTACAGACAATCACAGCTTTAGTGTTTGGCTAGCCATTTGAAACATGCCATTTAATGCCAGAGTTCCAGAGAGAACACTAGGGAAACACAGTACTGTATGCTAGGCAACAAAAAGCACACTGAAGTACACATATAATCCAAGACGAAGAACCAACAAAAAACCTCATCTCTGCAATTCTCAAAATGTGCAGTAATATAGACCAGTAAGGGAATAATCTTCTAACGTGTAGAAATAAACACTAGGTAACTTCCACCACCTGTCTCATTTGAAGATGGGTACAAGTCGTTCTATTCATAGCCACAGGAAAAGTTTTCCATATACACAAAATAGCTGTGCAATAAAACCAGTGAATTAAACAAGACTGGATAATTAAACTGAACACAACAACTTACGTGTATGGAGACAGAGGTCCTAACAGGACTTTGGAAACATCCCGTTGTCCAAGGGTCATGAGGAGCAGAGCAAGGCTCTGATTTGTTGAATCTACACAGCCTCCCTGCAAACCAAAATGTTTTAATAATTAATCTCTGTACAAACCAGAAATTGGGATGGGAGGAGAGTAATGAAGGAGGCAGATACACTTAAAAGGCTGAATTACCGCTCCCAATTTTCAAGGGCCAAAAAGATAAAAATCTAGATTTTGTAACAATGACAAATTAATTTTACATGGCAGGCTGGGAAAGGAACAGAACTAAAAGAAAACCCAGGAACAATGTCACATTAAAGATCCCTCCCATCTCTCCCAACCTGTTATCTTCTAACACCACATCATGTAAGCACTGAAGAATTTCTTTGCAATAAATTGAAAATAGGTATTAATTCTAGTTCATGTGCATTTGAAGATACCATGAATTGCAGCACCTTATGGTAACTATGAGGTTACATTCAGACAAAATAGTTCAGCATTAGCAGGTTCAAAACAGCAAGTTAAAAGTTGTTTCACACGCATCCACCTAAGCTCTTGCTGCTAACTTTTGTGGTTAAAGGTAAAACACTTTCCTCTCCCTACTTAAAACTGGAAGATTTTGTTTTATTGCTATGTGAAAGAGCCATGCATAAAATTATGTAGAACTACACATACTTTTGTACATATTTGACTGTAGTAAGTCATACATGCATGGTAAACTGTTTTGTATGTGGAAGGTGTTAACTACGATGCATATGCAAGTTAGAATTGGAAGGGTTTCTTTACTTACAAAGCTTGAACATAAGTTAAAAGGGATACTTTCAGTCAAGACTGCTGTAGAGAGAATTTACCATCTATTACTATGCAAACACATTGAAAATAGAAAAAAATATCTGGCATAACATTATTTTGGACTGTCCTCATATTCATGCTGATCCACAGCCACATGAAATCTGTGAAGTTTCCTGCTTGATCAGGCCTAACGTTAAGCCCTTTGAATAGGCTCTCTAGAGAGAGCAAAACTAAAAATTCATCCTTTTGAAATCAAATTCTCTAATGAGGTAAACTGACCTTTGTGGGCAAGCAGTAACCTGTCATCATTTCAAGAGATAACACCATCCAAAAAGGCAAGGGAGGGGCAAAATAAATTTTGGACTATGCAGATTACGAAAACACAATGATGTGACAACTTCAGCACATTTACTCAGCGAGAGGGCAGAAAGGAGGACCTTTCCAAGGAGAGTTGCTGAAGGTTTAATTCGCAAGATGGCCTTGCTTCAGTGTGACAAGTCTCAGCTCTGTTCTTCTGAAAAATCCTCTGCACTTCATGCAACTAATGATATACCACAATGAAGGAAACATCTTTATTATGTGCAGTACTGTGACCTAACTCCTAACAACATGCTTTTACAGCAGCCCTTGCCCTTTTAGCTGCATGGACCTGCCATACCAAAGTGAAGCTCATGCATTCAACCTAATGCCCTCTGTGGGACTGATAAAAATTGTGCTTTGTCTTGAGCGAATGGCGTACCTGCAGAAGTTGCTGGTGCAATCCAGAGCCACAGCTCTCACCAGCTCTATTTGCCAATCTGAGACATGTACAAGAAGCAGATGAGAGTTTGGTAATGAGTATTCCTGACACAGGACTTTCTGTATTTGGAGTCCCATTAACAATTCCTTATCACTTGGATGAAAACTTTACATTTTCTGAGCTTGTTTTTGTTTTTCTAAAGCTGAAAACATTATAAAACATCTATTTTTATGACCATATTTATACAAAAGCTTCAAGAAGCATGGAGACAACCATATCCTAAACAATATAGCAAAACATGATGCATCCATCACGTCCCAGCTGCTTACATAAGCTCTCTTGCTGCAGTGAGTCAGTCGTCCCCACTATTGTTGTGCATTAGCAATGCGCTGTTATGCCCATTCCCACATAGGCAGTTGCCAGAAGGGAAATTAAGTGATTTGCTTGTAATCTAATGTTGACAGAACAGTAACTTGTGCCAAATGAAGGACATGCTGCTCCCAAGAAGGCCAACTTTTTTCTCTCAATCCACCTGCCACTTAAGAGTCCGAAATAAAAAACAACCCTCCCACGAGAAATGGGATGGGCAAAGTCAGAGCCAAAGTACTGACATTTGTTCCAAAATAGCTGGCACTTGTTACCAACCTAGGATGCAGCTTCTAGTCCATATTAATTCAGTTTATGGCAGTTTCTCCATTATTGTTTCCATTGACGACAGAACCAGATCCAGCTGGATGTGACAATTAGAGACAGATCACTTAAAATCCCATCCATTTTGAAATGTTGTTATACAAATACCACAGCTGACATGCACATACAAATATCACAACTCTGGGTATTGGACAACAGTGTTTCAAAGAGGATTATTTTTCTCAGCTTGACCCCAGCTTTGATTTAGCCTTGGTTATATTTTAGCATACACACAATTTTCTCCTTTGCCTGTGTGTTACATATGTGCATGCCTCAATTTTTAACGTAAAAAGTGCAGAGGGTCTTTTTTGGATTTTTTTTTGGTGGCGTTTTTTGTGTGTGTGGGTTTTTTTTTTTTTTAGAAGAAGAATGGAGCACAGCCTTGTCACACTGAAGAAGAGCCATCTTGAAAATTAAGCCTTTAGAGAAATACTTCACTCACTTTAGCTCTAGTTAAATAAACCAAACAGCTTTACCCCTCTTGACCCCCCCAAGCACCCTTAAATAGGTATTGCGTCCTCCCCTATTTCTCATGATCCACAAGGAATATAAACATTCATTCCTTTTCCAGTTCTTCCAGGCCTTTCCATTCTGCCAATCGTTTGCTGTATAAAGGTTCCATAACTAATGCCTTTCAAAGACAACAGGAAAATCTTTATTGGCCTTCTACAATTAAGCTTAGGTAAGAACTACATATGGATTTGTAAAAACAATGCCAGCCAGTCACTCCATGACCCCTTTTCCAGGGTCACTGTAATTAGTGCTGTGCCACTTATTATTAGTCAATTAGCTCTGACATCGTTCCATCAACAAATGTACATAAAAAAGCTCGACTGATTCCAAGAATCATATGCCCTCTTTCATTTCTTTTTGAAGGCTGAGTAAAAGGGACCGTTTAGCACTTAACATAGCACGACTCAAATCCTTAGATTTCTGAGGTGGTAAAGTTCACATAAGAGCACGTATTAAGCAAGCACTTTAAGAGATGTCCCTGGGCCCTTTAAACAGTAATGAACTCCAGCAGATTTGCAGGTGACCCCGACAGCTAAAACCCTTCTACAGAGAATTATCTCCAATGCTCCCAGGATGCTCTTTTCTGGTCAACCCTCCCTGGCTCCTGCAGCACAGTACCCACCGGCAAAGACACAGATGGAGACACAATCTCATAAAGAGAAGATCTAAACATAGGGAGATAAATTCTCCCTTGAGCCCTGTATTCAGTGAGTAGCTGGTGTAAAGAGAGTGGGACTTAAGGAGTGCCTGTTCAGAGCAGCCTATTCTTGCCCCACGCACAGATTTCCAAAATTTTTACTGTTTCACTAGACATCCTATCTAGGCAAAGAAACTTAAAAAAAAATAGTATCTTCAAACTAAGCAAACATTGCATGCTTTGCAACATGTTTTTATATCCTCTTTGAGGTCAACACTAGATCAAACTGACCTAAGCTCAAAAAAAACCCCACCAAACCCAATCTCCTCCCCCAAAACCCAGTAAGTAAGTGCTAGCCAGGAATTTGGAAAGATGGGCTTTGTGAGCTTGTGTGTCATACATAAATTCAAGTGCGCATTCCGAAAACTACAGAACAAACCCCATCATATCACCTATGACAAAGGGAGCAGGGAATTCATGAAGACAGAATAAGGACTGAGCACTCCAGTGGATAAGCAGCACAACAGCCAAAAACGCTAAAGAACAGGAACTTCCACTGTGTGCTGCTGCAGCAGAGGACCGCAAGCAGTCTGCATGCTGCCCAGCACTTGTCAGGCACTCTTGGACTGAAGCGACCCACACATAAAGGAGCCTTCCAGGAGCACCAGTGGTACCACAGCAGGCCACAGCTAACAACCTCACTCACTCAGAACCTGATCTTCAAAGACATTGAAACCTCATGGCCTATCACTGTATCTCATTCAAAAACTTGCCTGACTCTGTTTCCTACTCAAATGCTTTTCTTCTGTTGACCTGAGATCCTCACTATCCTGGTGCTCTGCAGAATTTGACTTATCCCACTCAAATGGCTGCAGTACGCTGAAGAAGAAAATTACCTGGTTCAGGCCTTTCCAGCCCTCTTCATTTCAGAAGTTCTCTGATATCCGACTCTGAAGAAAGTATAATATCTGGACAAATTCCCTCACTAGTTTCAATCTGTCAAGTGCTGTATGTTTTCAAATGAAAACAAAAATACCTACTGCTAGGGATAGAAGCATGTGGAAATTGGATTTTTGATACCTCCAATCATCTGACTACCTAAAGGTGTTTTCCAAGAGATTTACACACAGCGACAAATGTACCAAATTTTAGGTTGGTTTGGTTGGTTGTTTTTTTTGGGGGGGGGAGGAGAGGAAGTGGAAAGATTTTACAATTCACCCCTCAAACAAAAATAGCTACCTGTCAGTAGGCAATTGTAGAAACAGACAGATATTTTAGTCACTAGTTGTGATTGCATTCTCCATGCGTGCTGGACTTTCAAATGCAAGGGGTCCGGACTGTACCCAGGAAGAATATTTGTTTGTGGCACTTCTATGAGATAAGAATCCTGAGCTAGAAAGGGAAAGTCCTCTAGCAACATGGTGCATATACTGAATAAACAAAGACAAAATATTAATGGAAGACTGAAACAAGTGGGAAAGTTGGTAATTCAGACAGATGAAGGGTTTGCAGCAGGGAAATGAAAAGGTAACATGGGCACAGATGAACAATCTACTACAGGCATGGATGTGATTTATGAGGTCATGGGGTATTTTTGTAATTCACTACATTACCTGACACAGAATCTCATTAATGGTATTTTTAATACTCTGCAAAAGTCCTATCAAGTTATTCCAGTTCAGAGCAATCACTTTTTTTAAAACAGTGAGTACAATTTGTAGTTGACTGCCTCCTAAAGGCCAAATGCATTTTGTCAATACTAACAGCTACTTATTTAACATTTGTGGAGATGCCCAACAAAAGCAGGTATGTTCTTTATTAAATCAGAAACTCAGTATGATGCTAATTGCCAAATCATTTGTAAGACTGAAAGCTGGTCATTCACTAAAAGTTTCACTGCAAATGAAAAACATTTTAATACAAAAAAAAAAAAAAATTACACTGCAGAAGACTGCGATGCACTTAAGATTCCTGTCCAAACACTGTCCTAGCTCCTTTTCAACAAATCATTCAGCCAATTCCTCATGCAACCCACAGATCTCAGCACATTTGACTTTGTCATCACCACCATAAAGCCGCCACCATTGAAGCTACCTGCTTTCCCTCCCCCCGCTTTTTCTTCCTCATATGTTCTCCCATTCATAACACCCCATTTCAACCACTAGTTTAAGGGTATTGACTCTTATTAAACCTCCAACTAATTTTTTAAAAAAGTAAATGAAATTAAAAAAAAAAAAAGAGTGAAACTAACTGAATTCTGCTGCAGACAGAAAGCAACAAAAGAAAAATCTGCCACTACTATGATTCATAGTAACATCTCCTGGACATGGGAAATAACATGGCCCAGTAAGTCATTACACTGTTAACGGAACCAATTAAAACCACTCCTTACCTGGATGAAGATACTGGCAGCATCACATCCTTTCTCTGTTTGGAGCTGAGCCTGTCTGAGGCTGCCCCCAAACCACCTCTTCCTTTACCAATATGTCATTACCTCCTTT